TGCTTTTAAACTTGTTTATTAGTAGAGCATTTCCGAAGCTCTAGCTTTGGTGAACTATTTGTGGCTCTGTGCTCGATATTTATTTAATGCCTGCTGTAGTGTATACCTTATCGAAGTTATTCAATTTGACAAAATGGCCATAACGGAACAATAGAACTATATGCTGGCAAACATTTTTTTTCGTTCGTTTGTTATTTGTTTAATTTTCAAATAACAACAATGGATGCAGTAACGCCATCGACAGTAACCGTATCCGGTGATAATGGTAGGAAAAAAAACGAATGGCGTTGTTACAAAAAATATGTGTATAAAAGGAGCTATTGCAACAAATTCCTGAAAATGAAAAACAATCAATATTCAGAAGGGGGTTTGGCTTCTTTATATTCACACAGAGAGGAGGGAGGGATGTCCTTATTGGCTAAGGGGAAGCAAAATTTGTCAATGAAATTAACTGCTTAGAAGTCCATTGCTTTTTGAAGACTTTAAAGGGAGATAAGCTATTTTCAGGTCCAGAGTAGGAATTTTTGTAGTCCAGACTCTGCCTGCTATGCTTGTCCTACCAGTATTCAAGATTTTCATTACATGTCCTTATTGGCTAAGGAGAAGCAAAATTTGCCAATGAAGTTAACTGCTTGGAGGTTCTTTGCTTTTTGAAGAATTTAAAGGGAGATAAGCTATTTTCAGGTCCAGAGTAGGGATTTTGTAGTCAAAAGAGGTCCAGACTCTGCCTGCTATGCTAGTCCTAGAAGTATTCACGATTTTCATTACATGCCCTTATTGGCTAAGGGGAAGGAAAATTTGCCAATGAAGTTAACTGCTTCGAGTTTCTTTGATTTTTGAAGAATTAAAAGGAAGATACAATATTTGAAGGCCCTGTATAGAGATTTATGTAGTCACAAGAGGTCCAGACTCTGCTAGTAGTCCTGCTATACTAGTCCTACCAGTATTCACGATTCTTTTTACAAATACTTATTTAAAAGTAATTACAAAGAACACTCTTCAATTTTTAATGGGTACCAGATTTTATCTCTCTTTGTCCAACCTTGAACATTCCCAGTTCCATTTCTTTTATAATTTCACCATTATTTTTGTTTGTTCAAGGACCCCCAATTAAAAACAACAATAGAAAAGCCAGCAATAACAAAGGATACACAAAACAAAAAGGAGTAACATGCCATTATTATATTTTCTTTGTGAACGATTTGTGCAATTGGGCGCCACTTTTGCAATGAATTGTGTGTTATTTCTTTTCGCCCGTTTTATTTCCCATTTTTTTAATCAGGGTTAACAAAACAATGGTTTCGCACAAAAAACATAATGATTTAACATTTGAAGTTCACACAAGTGTATGTATAATATGTTATACATATGTGTGAAATACATATGTTTATGAATACGCCGAAACAGTGGCATATAAAGGGAGAGATAAAAAAAAACCGCAACAAAGTCAAACGCCATAATTTTTACATTTTTTTTTTTAATTTTATTGAATGAAAGCAAAAAAGATCGGAAATAGCAACAAATTTTAGAATAACTTTAGATTTGTACGAATTGGTCACCTTTGGCACGAGTTATGGACTTCAAACGGCCAATGAAACCGTCACACGCTGCCTGAATGTTACTCTGCGGTATTTTGGCCCATTCCCGGCGAAGCGCTTACTTCAGGTGATCAACACCTTGGTATTTTATAGTGCCAACCTTGCCTTCCAAAATATTCCAGACACAATAGTCCAACGGATTGGCATCCGGAGATTTCGGTGGTCATTGTGCGCTGGAAATGAAGCGAGGAACCTCATTTTGTAACCATTCTTGGGTGGCGCGTGCTGAGTGGGATGGTTCTTAGTCCTGTTGGAATGTCCAAGGTCTGCGTTCAAAAGGTTTGCGTGCCCAAAGATTCAATACACCCTCCAGAATATTTTCGCGATAATATTCTGCATTTATTCTGATGCCACGGACATTTAATACGAGCGGAGAGCGACCATCGGCTGTTATGGCGGCCCACACCGTCACCATGGCCGGCGCTTGAGTTCTGGTGGCCAAGCGAAGGTGCACATTTTCAGCTGACCTCTTTGGCAAGTAAACACGATCATTTTATTTACCAACTGCTGAACAAGGAATATTTTCTCATAGGAGAAAACCAAATTCGACAGCAACTCTTTAGCTCTTTTGAGTCCAATTTCTTTTTGTTGCGGTGTAAGTTCTTGCACTTTTTGGAATTTCAATGGCTTCACCCCGAGCTCATTTTTAAATATTTGCCGAATGGAATATTGCGATATGTTCAGCTCACGAGCCATTTTTCGGCCACTGCGATGCGGGTTTCGATAAAGTGGCTTTTTTACTTTTCAAACCATTTCTTCTGATGTTTTCTTCCGTCCACTTTCTTGACGTCGGTCTACGTTACCAGTTTCACGGTAACGAGTGATGGCACGAGACACAAAAGATTTATTCACGTTTAAATGCTGGAGTGCTGTAACGATAGCGGCTTGTAGTTTCCCAGCTAAATATAAAGAGATCACACTATTACGCTTGAATTCCAACCCAAATATTTTTTTCTGGAAAATTCTCAGTAAAATGCTTTTCTACGCTTGTAAAGAATATAATGAGGTATCACTGGAATAATTTTAACAGCTGTCGGACGAGTGGTTTAGAAATGACTGCAGTCTGAAATTGGTTGCAGTTTTTTCATCTCACCCTGTAAGAATTAAATGAAGCAGAATAATTTTTAAATAGACGAACTACATCTATAAAGGGCCAGTCAGACTCTTTATTGAAATACTGACAGAAATACCAGCAAAACTACCTTAAGGAGTCTATATACATGGCCATGCTGAAGGGGACCTCAGACAGTCTATTTCCATAGACCAGCTGAAGCTCGGGCTTCAGGCAGTCTATTTTCATAGACTAGCTGAAGCTCGGGCTTCAGGCAATCTACTTTCATAGACTACCTGAAGCTCAACCTTCAGGCATAGTCTATTTCATAGACTAGCTGAAGCTCGGGCTTCAGGCAGTCTACTTTCATAGACTAGCTGAAGCTCGGGCTTCAGGCAGTCTACTTTCATAGACTAGCTGAAGCTCGGGCTTCAGGCAGTCTACTTTCATAGACTAGCTTAAGCTCGGGCTTCAGGCATAGTCTATTTCCATAGACTAGCTGAAGCTCGGGCTTCAGGCATAGTCTATTTCCATAGACTAGCTGAAGCTTGGGCTTCACGCAGTCTATTTTCATAGACTAGCTGAAGCTCGGGCTTCACGCAGTCTATTTTCATAGACTAGCTGAAGCTCGGGCTTCACGCAGTCTATTTTCATAGACTAGCTGAAGCTCGGGCTTCACGCAGTCTATTTTCATAGACTAGCTGAAGCTCGGGCTTCACGCAGTCTATTTTCATAGACTAGCTGAAGCTCGGGCTTCACGCAGTCTATTTTCATAGACTAGCTGAAGCTCGGGCTTCACGCAGTCTATTTTCATAGACTAGCTGAAGCTCGGGCTTCAGGCCGAGTCTATTTTCATAGACTAGCTGAAGCTCGGGCTTCAGGCCGAGTCTATTTTCATAGACTAGCTGAAGCTCGGGCTTCAGGCATAGTCGACTTCCATAGACGAGCTGAAGCTCGGGCTTCAGGCAGTCTATTTTCATAGACTAGCTGAAGCTCGGGCTTCAGGCAGTCTATTGCCATAGACTAGCTGAAGCTCGGGCTTCAGGCAGTCTATTGCCATAGACTAGCTGAAGCTCGGGCTTCAGGCCGAGTCTATTTTCATAGACTAGCTGAAGGGCCGCTGGCCTCAGGGAGTCTATTTCCATTGAAGGGGACCTCAGGCTCCTCCAGACTCCTTATGGAGTCTATTGCCATAGACGAGCTAAAGGGCCGATTTTATGGATATTTTTTTCTGCAATATTTTTTTCTCTTTGGCGCAGGGTATTTCAAATGTATCTCTTCCTAACTTTCGAGGATTTTTAAATATTTAAAAAATGTTGTTTACCCCGAGGGTTCGATGTTAACGTGTGAATATTTTTTTCAGTATATTTTGTGTTATTTATGTATTTTAATAAAGATTCCCTCCAAAAAAGCAACCAAAGCATTGCAGGGCTATGGAACTATATATGTGTGTGTGTGTGTGTTTGTATGTTCGTTTGTATCTGTAGTTATGCTAAAAAATCCCTCTCCGAACGGAAAGAGCTTAAAATTATTACACACTTGTATTCGTATAATTAGAAAGGACTTCACACAGGGGCAACAATTAAAACCAGACAATTACAAAAACAAAAGCAAAGCAAAACAAAAACAACAACAACAACATGCATTCAACATTCATTTATTGTTGTACAACGAAAGTTGTACATTTTCACAAACACACACACTCACACACCATGGCATAGACAATTGAATCCTTTGGTGAATGTCCTTGTTAAACATATTTAAATTTTGTTGTTACCTCCAAAATCCTCACCCCCAATCCTCTCACTTTTTTAGAGTATTTGTTAGCAAGGATAATATTAAACGTTGTTATAAGTCTATTATTATATTTTCTCTTTGTGTGTGTGTATGTGTGTGCGTATGTATTTGTGTGATTGTTTTGTTTTCCAAGTGTTGAAATATATTATTTTTATCTGCAAGAGTTGTTATCTACATGTGAATATATGTGTGTGTGTCCGTTGCTCCATAACATAAGGTCCCTTGCATTCACCATTTGTTCCATGTCCTCGAAAGGGCAAATTTGTTTGCTCTCTTTTCTCCTGGCCATGCTACACTTTCAATACCTCCCCCCCATCCAAAACCCAGTGGAATATTCAAAATAATTATTACAACAAGTTACGAACGCTATACCCTCCTCAACATTCAGAATTTTATAATGTCCGTAATTTACCCTTTTTCTACACAGACACTCTCTCTCACACACACACATTAAATGTTTAAAATAATTAAATATTTAAAATTATTTTTTTTTTTTATTTTTGTTCTTTTTTTTTCTATTTTTTCCTTTTGTTTTTGCCTCTCCTTTCATTTAGGGACTGGTGCAGATGCTCTCACATCACAGTATGCCCCAACGCTTAATCCACTGACCAATGGTGCCTATGCTGCCGCGACCGCACCACTTGCGGCTACAGCACTGCAGGCAGCCGCTGCTGGTGTGGCTGGAAAACAAATTGAAGGTAAGTACATGTTCGGATTATGTTGTTGTTTTTGGTGCTATGCGAAATTTTTAATTTGGGAAAAGAAGTTATTCAAAGAAGGAAAATCCAGGAAATGTAGTTTGAAAATATTTATCAAGCCTTTAAAGTCGGAAGACCTTTAAGTGACCTTCAAAGGATCGAGTGAAGCTAAAAGATCTTCTATAGACAGTCTTCTGTAGTAAATTACCCCTTTATTGTCTTCTATAGGCAGATCAAGAGTCAAGAGACCTTCTTTTTACAGAACATACTTGGAAGATCCTCTGGAGACGGAAGAACCTTCAATCAACTTCTTGATTCAAAAAACTCATTAGAGGTCTTCTTAAGGGAAAGGGGCATTCAATGTTCTCTCGAGACAAAATACCTTTCATCGAGTCTATTGCCATAGACGAGCTGGAGGGCTGCCTTCATCGAGTCTATTGCCATAGACGAGCTGAAGGGCCGGCGGCCTCAGGGAGTCTATTGCCAAAGACGAGCTAAAGGGCTGACTACAGGGAGTCTATTGCCAAAGACGAGCTAAAGGGCTGACTACAGGGAGTCTGTTGCCATAGACGAGCTAAAGGGCCGGCTTCATCGAGTCTATTGCCATAGACGAGCTGAAGGGCCGGCTTCATCGAGTCTATTGCCATAGACGAGCTGAAGGACCGGCCTCAGGGAGTCTATTGCCATAGATGAGCTGAAGGGCCGGCTTCAGGGAGTCTATTGCCATAGACGAGCTGAAGGGCCGGCTTCATCGAGACTATTGCCATAAACCAGCTGAAGGGCTGCCTTCATCGAGTCTATTGCCATAGACGAGCTGAAGGGCCGACTTCATCGAGTCTATTGCCATAGACGAGCTGAAGGGCCGGCTTCATCGAGTCTATTGCCATAGACGAGCTGAAGGGCCGGTTTCATCGAGTCTATTGCCATAGACGAGCTGAAGGGCCGGTTTCAGGGAGTCTATTGCCATAGACGAACTGAAGGGCCGGCTTCATCGAGTCTATTGCCATAGACGAGCTGAAGGGCCGGCTTCATCCGGTCTATTGCCATACACGAGCTGAATGGCCGGCTTCATCCGGTCTATTGCCATAGGCGAGCTGAAGAGCCGGCTTCATCCGGTCTATTGCCATAGGCAAGCTGAAGAGCCGGCTTCATCAAGTCTATTGCCATAGACGAGCTGAAGGCCGGTTTCATCGAGTCTATTGCCATAGACGAGCTGAAGGGCCGGCTTCATCGAGTCTATTGCCATAGACGAGCTGGAGAGCCGGCTTCATCGAGTCTATTGCCATCGAGTCTATTGCCATAGACGAGCTGAAGGGCCGGCTTCCCAAGGTTCTTTTTTTGTAGGAGAAAAACCATTTCAAATTAATTTCAAAGACTGAAGTCTCCTTAAATAGTCTCCTACCGACTGAAGGTCTTTAGAAGATAATTTATAGCCCGAATTCCCATTAAAATCTTTGAAAATACCTACGTTTCCTTAAAGGAATTTTGATATTTATTCTTCCGACAGAGGTCCTGACAAAGGCCTTTTTAATGAAACCTGAGGAACCTCTAAAGTTAGTCTGAAGTTAAATATAGGCTTTCCATAACGTTGAATTTTTTAGACAAAAGATAAAGAAATTTCGATGGCTGAAGGTCATTATGAGGTCTTCTTAAGGCAGAAACCACCTTTAAAGGGGTATGGGACAGGAGACCCTTTGAAGGTATTCTTAGAGATAAAGTCTTATTAGCTATTTGTTTTAGGCGGGATATCCTTTGAAGGATTTCCGAAGGCAGAATGTCCTTTCAAGGTCTTTTTCAGACATAAACCCCTATGGGAACAGACTAAAGGTCCCCTTCAGCTCGTCTATAGACATAGACAGCACGTCTATAGACAAGCTAAAGGTCTCCTTCAGCACGTCTATAGACATAGACAAGCTAAAGGTCCCCTTCAGCTCGTCTATAGACATAGACAAGCTAAAGGTCCCCTTCAGCTCGTCTATAGACATAGACAAGCTAAAGGTCCCCTTCAGCTCGTCTATAGACATAGACAAGCTAAAGGTCCCCTTCAGCTCGTCTATAGACATAGACAAGCTAAAGGTCCCCTTCAGCTCGTCTATAGACATAGACAAGCTAAAGGTCCCCTTCAGCTCGTCTATAGACATAGACAAGCTAAAGGTCCCCTTCAGCTCGTCTATAGACATAGACAAGCTAAAGGTCCCCTTCAGCTCGTCTATAGACATAGACAAGCTAAAGGTCCCCTTCAGCTCGTCTATAGACATAGACAAGCTAAAGATCCCCTTCAGCTCGTCTATAGACATAGACAAGCTAAAGGTCCCCTTCAGCTCGTCTATAGACATAGACAAGCTAAAGGTCCCCTTCAGCTCGTCTATAGACATAGACAAGCTAAAGGTCCCCTTCAGCTCGTCTATAGACATAGACAAGCTAAAGGTCCCCTTCAGCTGAAGCATGGCTTCAGGGCGTCTATTTTTATAGAAGAGCTGAAGCATGGCTTCAGGACGTCCTGAAGCCATGCTTCAGCATTTCGCAGGGCTTATGAGTGTGTGTATATGATTTTTTATTCTAATATTTCTCAATTTCCCATTCCAGGTCCCGACGGCAGTAATCTCTTTATTTACCATCTACCTCAGGAATTTAATGATACCGATCTCGCTTCAACATTTCTGCCATTCGGTAATGTCCTATCGGCCAAAGTGTTTATTGACAAACAGACAAATCTATCCAAATGTTTCGGTTTCGTTTCGTACGACAATCCCCATTCGGCTGGAGCAGCCATCCAAGCGATGCACGGATTTCAGATTGGCACCAAACGGCTCAAGGTGCAACTAAAACGTTCCAAAGATGCGGCAAAGCCTTATTAGACTTAATGAGAATGTGTATGTGTGTGAGAAAGAGAGAGAGAGTGTGTGAGAGCGCGGTTAAGAAATTAGGAGAAACACAAAAACAAAACAAAAAAACTGAAAATGTAGTTAATTTTGTAATTTAACTAAGACAAGAAAAACACAGAAAAACCAACAAAAAACCAACAAATGTTAAAAAATTCATTCTAAATGTAATATGAGTGCCTTTAGTCTTAAACATTAGAAGAAAGAAAAACAAAAAACATAAATATATAGAAGTAATATTAACAAATAATTAAATAATAATAATTAAAATAACCAAAGGACCAATAATTAAATATAAAATGTTTTCTTTTTTGTTTTTTTTTTATTTTATTTTTGATTTTAATGTTGAAATATTTATATACATAAATGACACATTGTTTAAATAAAGTTATATATATCTATACAACCACAAAAAATCAAGAAAAACAACAGCAACAAAGAAATATGTAGTAAAACCAAAGAATATGAAAAGAGAAAAAAAAAAATAACTAAAGAAAGGCAAAAATAATCAACTGAGGAAAAATAGCAAAAAAAAAAAAAATAAATAAATAAATAAATAAAATACAAATACATAAGTTATATCTTATAAAAAATTAAAAAGAAAAAATATTGACTTTTTTAAAAAGTGGTATTGGGTTTAATTTAATCCGACCCCATCGCCTTGAGTTGGTACTGCTTTAAACAAAATCTTGTTTTTGTTATATTTCATAAATTTTAATGTTATATTCTCTCATAACCCCAAAATCTACAACTCCTACTAACTTTAAAGAGCATATTTTTTGTGGTCAACAAAAAACAAAAAAAAAAAAAATAAATAAATAATTGTTGTTTATTTTTTAATAGTTTTTTTTTAAGTCAATAATAAATAAATAATAATACACTTAAACCTATAGTTTACATTTACACATATGTATTCTACATATATATATATATATATATACATAAAAAATAAATCTATAAATATACATATATGTATTTCAAAGCCAAATAGTTAAGTAAATTTTGTCATAAATTTTTAAATGAGTTAGACGCAAATTGCAAAAAACCGATAAAAAGATCTATATCATTTCTAATAGAAAAACAAACAAGATATATCCCCACCCCACCCTTGTCATATACCTACCTACATATATATACATTTATGTGCAATTATTTATAAACATAGAAATGGAAAACACGTAATAAAGTGTGAAGTATAAAAATAATAAACTTATCATAGAATTTTGTTTAGTTTTAAGTTAGCAAAACAAAAAACAAAAACAGAAAAAGGAAGAAATAAATATTTACATTCTAATATTGTTAACCGGCAAAAAGGATGCAAAATGATTGTTTTATTTAGCATGTTTGCCTTCAGTAGGCAATATTTGATAAGAAAGCAGTTTGGAATTATGAAAGTAAGTAAAAACCAGTAAAGAAAGTCTTAAAGTCGGGCGGGGCCGACTTTATGATACCCTACACCACTTTGCTAATTAAGTAGAGCTCCACATAACAATTAAAAGTTTTTATGGGAGAATTCAATCATACACGCTATGATTATAATTATAATTTAAGGTTCAAAGGACTAAATATGCCGAAGCCTTTGTATCTTTTAAATTCGGAATTATATTGCCCATTTGGTGCACAATTAATTTGAAATCGGATAAAGTTATATATTTAGGAGCTATATCCAAATCTGAACCGATCTCGATAAAATTTGGCATAGATATTTCTGAGCTGTATTTGATATATTTCCCTGAATATCGTTGTTACGGAGTGCATATTACGGTTGTGGGTAACAAATATAACAAATCGGATGAATAATATATATGGAAGCTATAGCTATATCTGAACCGATCTTCACCAAATTTGACATACTAGCTTCTAGACACAATTCGGTCGTAAGTGCCAAATTCCATCCTATTTGGACAAATATTAGACGTTTGGTGCACAATAAAAGGTAAATCGGACGAAGTTATATATGGGAGCTATATCTAAATCTGTACCGATCTCGATAAAATTTAGCAAATGTATTTCTGAGCTGTATTTGATATATTTCCCCAAATATTGTTGTTGCATAGTGCACATTACGGCGGCGGTAGACAAAAATAACAAATCGGATGAACAATATATATGGGAGCTATAGCTATATCTGAACCGATTTCGATCAAATTTGGCATGCATATTTTCAGGCCTAATTTGGGTGTATGTGGAAAATTCCATACAATTCGGGCTGATATTACACGTTTGGTGCACAATAAAAGGCAAATCAGACGAAGATATATATGGGAGCTATATCTAAATTTTGACCGATTATCTCCAATTTCAATAGGGTTCGTCCTTGGGCCAAACAAAAGATCTTTGCAAAATTTCATCTGGATCGGGCAATAAATGCGACCTATACTTTGTTTACAAAAATACATGGACAGACGGACAGACGGACGGACGGACATGCATAAATCGACTCAGAATGTGATTCTATGCAGATCATCAAAAGGAACTATGGGTCTATCTCGTTTCCTTCTTCCTGTTACAAACAAATGCACAAAGACATAATACCCTGACCACCTTGTGGTGTAGGGTATAAACAGCAAGGAGGGGCAAAAGTCGGATGGGACTGACTATATGATAGCCAAAACCACTATGCATATTTAGGAGAGTTCTCGTAACAAAAGAATTGATTTGAAGTAGATCATACCACCTATCAACATTTGGCCTTAGAGCAGTTACAGTTTGGTTTCAGAGGGAACTATTGTGTGGGAGGCATATCCAATTCTGAATCGATTTTCACTAAATTTGACGGAGACATTTGTATTTTCTATATCAAATAAAATTGCTATAGACTGCATTATATCACTTCGAAAAGTAATATATTAAACTTTTAATACCCTCCACAATTGGAAGGAACTTGAAAAATTTCAAAAAAATGCTGAAAACTACCACTTAAATGAAAACCGTTGTATGGGGACTATACGAAGACGTAGAGCTGCCTACGAGGCTATATTACCCATTACGAACTTCAAATACTAAACTTGAAACTATTCCGGTGAATAATGTTGCTGAAATCCTCAAAATACCGACGATCGGGAATTACCGTAATAAGGGGGATGTACGAAAACGTGTAACTGCATGCGAAATGCTTTTCCATAGGTAGTAGTAACCCTTAAGATCTCCCAATACTAAATTTGACACGATTTTGGTGAACAATGTTGCTGAAATAATCAAAATACCGAATATCGGGAGGTGCCGTTATATACGAAGACGTGGATCTGCATACAAAAATGTTTGTCATAGGCTGTAGTACCCATTACGAACTTTAAATATGAAAGTTGAAATAATTTACATTATTTATAATGTCGCTAAAATCATGAAAATACCGAATATCGGGAGGTACCGTTATATGGGGGCTATATGAAAACGTGGACCGACATGGCCCATTTACGAACGAAACCTGCTTACTGTTAAACTATGCATATGTGCAAAATTTTAGCCTTCTACCTCAATTCGTTCGAAAGATAGCGTGATTACAACAGACAGGCAGACAGGGTCTGTTATGAATATTTCGAGGAGTTACAAACGGAATGACAAAGCTAATATACCCTCCATAGAATAGTGGAGGATATAAAAATATATATCGGAGCCGAGTTCCACAAAATGGAAACTTGCGTCCCGAATCTCTCTCCATTTGGGCTGATATAAGCCATTATTTGCACAATAAACTTTAAATCGGTCTAAGGATATATATGGGAGCTATATCGAAATTTTAAAATATGGCAAATGTATTCCCGATCCCCATAAGATATCTGGTACCTAATATAATTCTTGTTGAGTGCATATTAGGAATGTGTGAGACTTAAACACCAAATTGGATGAAACATACATATGGGGGCTATAGCTATATGGCGCACAATAAAATTGATATCGGACAAAGAAATATGTGGAGCTATATCTAAATTTGAACCGATTCTCACCAATTTCAAAAAAAATATTGTTTGAAAACTTCATTTCAATCGGATAATAAATACGACCTGCATTTTTTTGACAAGAATACATGGACAGATAGACTGACATGCAAAAGTAAAACTAAAGAAATAATTCTATGAAGATCCTCAAAAGTAACATATTACAAACAAATGCACAAGGACATCCAACCATACATTTTTATACCCTCAGCCATATGGCTACAGAGGGTATATATCATTTGATACGGTCAAAAGGTGCCTAGTCGAAATAACGGTTTTAGACCCTAGATCTAGAGATTTCCGTCCGTCCGTCCGTCTGTCTGTCTGTCTGACAGGGAAGTATCCGATTTGGTCCAAACGTTGTACATCGTAATATTTTTGTCAAACTTAGATCGAGTTCGGAGATGGGCAATATCGGTCCACTCCTTCTGGCACCTCCCCCACAAAAGGTCGAAATTTTCAAAAAATGTATTTTTTGCACAGAAAGAGAAACGATAATCCGATTTTGCTCAAACTTTGCAAAATGGATAATATAGGTCCACTCCATCAAATACCTCCCCCTCAAAGGGTCAAAATTTTGAATAATTACAACTCTCATAATATGTGATGTAAGAGTCCGATTGCCTTCAAGTTTCACACATGCCAATATTTATGTTAGCCCAAGGTCTGATGTTAAGATGGAACATATCGTTCCATTCCTTCTGGTACCTACCCCACAAATGGTCGAAATTTTAACAAATATATATTTTTTGCACAGAAAGAGAAACGATAATCCGATTTAGCTCAAACTTTGCAAATCCTGATATTTACGTCAGTTCTAGTTTAGGTGCAAAAATGGATAATATAGGTCCACTCCATCAAGTATCTCCCCCACAAAAGGTCGAAATTTTGAATATTCATCAAGCTCTTAAAACACTTAACCACGATTCCATTCAGACTTGGCACATCTCAACATTTTCATAAACGCAAGATCTTTTATATAGATGGTAAAGATCGGAACATTCGTTCTGGTACCTCCCACACAATGGACCTAAGTTTTGAATAATCAAACGAGCAAAGAATCCGAAATAAACATCCGGTTCTCTTCATATTACACACGGTCCATTATTTCTACTAACTCAAGATCTGGTGTGAAGATGGCATATATCGGTCCACTCCTTCTAGTACCTCCGCCACAAAAGGTCAAAA